CATACAAAACTACAGTCCAATGGTACATACAAACTATTTCAAATGCTAGAGATAAATGTGCAGAACTTGTGTTAAAAGGGAAACATAAGTAATGTAAGCAAACCAAGAGATGCAGATAATATCTTAAAGCATTAAAAAGCATTAAAATAAGTCTATAACTGGAAATACTGTTTGAAATTATAAATTAAAATTAAAAAAAAATCAGTCAAACTGAAAAATCTAATCTGAATCATTTTTTCAAATTTCATTTAGCAGATTTCAGATCTGCCAATATGTCTATGTTTCCTCAGGGTTAAATGATCTCGACTAGGCATAAATTAATAAGGGCTATTAATGTTAATACTATCCATTACAAAGGGTTTCTATATTATACTCCTCTGATCTTCAAGTTTTCCTAGGGTTTCCCCTTCTTGGGGTGCTCTCTACAGAGGTGTCAAACACCTGCCTTCGCTTGCTTTCTTTTAGGTGGCAGATTCGCCATCCCCATACAGCTTAGTTTATTCTGATATCAGTAACACATGGCAAAATTACCAAAAAGACTCCAAACTAACAAAAAGCATGCCCAGCAATACTTCTGAGGATGTGAAACTATACGGAGAGTGGTAACAGAAGTGGAGAGGAAAATACTCCAGCAATATCAGTTGCTTTTAAGCTGTAGGATTACTGCTTGGGAACCTCCCATGCCTGAACCTCTATTGGTTATCATAAGACAAACTCTTAATTCAGTGAGCTCTGAAAAGGAAGACTGAACAGAGGCTGAATAAATTAGCAGTTCTTTTACAGATAGAATCCTCTAACAATGTTAGTACTTTTTCCAAGACCCACTGTTAAGCACTGGCAGCGGAGAGGAGGTAAGGATGGTAAAGGACACTATTTCACATTACATAAGAATAGATGCTGTATTAAGCCAGCAATAGTTTGGGCATGCATATACTGAATGGCCTCACTTCTTATAGAAAGGAACGAGAGAGGAAACTGCCCTGTATGCCAGTCAGTCCCTAACCACAGAGGTGCTCTAACAGTAGCAATGGATGATTCTTTTGGAATAAGTCATCAAACTAATTCCTGTTAGCCTTCATAGTTTCCATGAAGAGTAAGTCTCTTTGCCTTTTTTATCTCACTCCAGAAGGTGGAAACATTTTAAATTACATATTATTCCTTAAATATACATCACTGTCACTATATCAACAATTATGCAGAAGTGTTAAAAGAAACTGTGGACTTGTGTTTTCAGGATTTGATGTTAGTGTTGCTGGCTACATACTGCTTGACTCTGCAGGTTAACCTTGTGCAATCAGTGGGGAGCACTGAAGAGCAACGATTTACTCCACATAAAGGTAGGAGCTTCATGCCTTGGAGCTTGTTATCACTGGGGTGTCTTGCCACAATTAAAACAAACACATAAGAAAACAGGAAAGAAAATAAGAAAATCTGGCCAGATCCAGACTGTGTAGATCACAGGAAGAACTAGGTGTTTTTCAGTATTTCCTAAATATAAATCACATGCAGGTCACATTCTGCACACTCTTAGATGACTGACAGCGTATTGGCTAAGCAAGCAGTTTTACATATGTCCTTTCTAAAAAGACAGTGAATTTTTCTGATTCTAATGTGAATTTGAAAAGCATCTGTCAGAGAAATGAGCATTCATTGTCCCATATGACATTACCTTTGTAGGCTACGTACCAGTATTAATTCTTCTAACTTTAGTGCTTACAACAACAATAAAGAACTTTCTTTAAGAGGTCCCTTTAGATTCTGAACATCAGATATAAAATGGCATCAGAATGCAGGGAATCTATGTCGCTCCATTACTCAACAAACCATGGAGTAGTATAAATCCTTTAAATCTAATCTTATAATTTAATAGGCACTTAGTATTTAACTCTGACCAATCAACATGCAGGTAAGCCACAAAATAGCCTTTTTAAAGGGAACAGGAGCAGGTAAGAATAGAAGAAAGTTAGCCAAGGACTACTAGGTGAGGAGAACCTGAAAAAGGAATGATAATAATGGAATTCCAGAAAAAACAGTCAAACCCGCACCATTTCTGTATAATGCTGCTTCTTCTCAGAAAACTAATTGATATACCACAATTTGCAAGTGATTTTTTCAAGTTCATAAACTGTTATATTATTACTACTACAGCCATAAATGAGCATAGGACTTGAGAAGCCTGTACCACAGAATTAGTTGATCACAAGTGGTAGGTTTGGGTTTATCAATATCAACAATAAAATCTAAGCTCAATGGAGGAGAGGGACTCTCCAAAGCAATCTCCAAAGAAACAGGGATCTGCATCCAAGATTCTTGCTTGCTTCATGCCCAACTACTGATTTTGCATGTGTGGAGTGATTCTGTGGTAGCAGATTGCCCTTCATGCTCAGATTTATTTTTACTCTCCTTAGATGTTTCTTTGACAAAAAAAAGAGAAAACTTTTCATAGAAACTGTTTTACAACATGTGATTAATATCACACTGCTTAAATCTTGCAATTCTATTAGTGCATACTGTAATAATTTCATTCTCATTTAAACAATTTTGTTTCTGTCCCAAGAGCTCATTTCTAAATTTAAGCTTTCACTTACACTTGTTGAAGGTAAATATTTCTATTGTCATTTACTTATCTAATATGAATTCCACATTTCAGTGAGATACATCTGGCAAACAGAGTGCAGGTAAAAAGTACCACACCTTACCTCTGTCACTGTCATACAAATATGCAAACTTGGTCCACTGATAGTATTCAATCAAGCTAAGAAGAGCTCCCTTGAGGTCAGGTCTCATTTGAATAACAAAGGGATGTGTTCCATCTGTTGGGAAGCTGGGAGTTATGAAGGAGACGTGAAGAGTCCCACAGAATGATGTTATGGTATTTACAGACTTCTTGTCATAGAATCCAAAAATAGCAAAGACTCCTCTTGAAAACTGGGAGCAGACTAGGAGGAAGACAGACAGACAATTAGGTGGGAGAATTTGTTTTAAAAAACTATTGAAAAGTCTATCATGGATATATTTATGAGAAATATATGTCTGAGAAAATGTCTGATCACACAAATGCCAGGAGAAAAAAGTAATACTCTGCTATGGAGATTATTATTTGTTAGTATTAGTAATATAAAGTTTCCACAAGGAAAAACAACAAAAAGAAAATATCAGAGATGTGGTTCACATTCCTAGACAATAAATTCAGAAATAAAGCTCACCAACTTATTCTTAAAATCAATGTATGCTGTAAAGAATAGTGATGCAAACATCAATGGCAGTTGCAATTTAAAAAATGAGTCATTATGACCACACATACTGTTACGGAAATGGATAATGTTTTGTCATATTAAAAATAAACTGTCTCTGAGGTCAAGACTTACTGAGCCTTTTGCAGAATACTTTAAATAACTTTCTATTTGTGGAAATATAAAGCCAAAACTAAAAGCAAATCTATTAACACCAATAAGAAGACAATCTTTAAAACCCTTCCTTTTCAAGGCATTATTTTAATTCCTGCTTCGTAGGACTCAGCAAAAGCTGGTCCTTCTGGATGACACTTGCGGTCATGTTGCAGAAAGAATAACCTCATAGGTGTAAATAACATGCTGATTATTCACTTTTTATCACTGGAGACAATTTAAGCGAATTGATGAATGTGACTGACCACTGTAGCCTCTGCAAAAGAGCTACTTCTTCTGGGTTATTCTCTTCTTTGACATTGCAGGGTACACTAGTGCCCAAGTTCTAAAACCAAGGTACAGTAGGAAAATGTTCATCTGATTAATTCCCATTTATCACATGCATTTTTTGGTTTGCAGAGTCACCTTGAACAACACACATCCTTCTAGAGAAAACAGCTAGTCAGCCTCATAGCAAGCCCTGTTACACCTGACCTGCTTATAGATAGAAAGCACAGTGTAAATGAAGCTAATTTTGCCCAGCTATTTAATGCACTAATCCTTGCATATAATTCATATAAGGGCAAAAATAAGTTGACTTATTTTTAAAATTTCTTAGATTTGAATTAATATGATATTTTACCTTTCAAAGAAATTGTATATTTTAAAAACTGTGCTTATTTAAAAAAAAAATTATTCTTTTATGCCTGTTATTACTCACTGCTATCCCCTTTTCATGGCTTTGCTACCAGTCATCTCTCACGCCCTAATTATTCCTACGCTCCCATTAAAAGTACCTAAACAGTATGAGTGAAATTCTGCCAGTTTTAAGTTATCACCTATTAACTTTAATTAGGTCAGAATTTTACCTCAGGTGACAGAATACAAGTGATTAAAAAACTTGATGAGTAACACCCCTTTACAAAAGGATACTGCAGGTTTTCCAGGGCTAGGTACAAAATGGTCAGACCTCTTCTGTCCCAACTGCAAATTGATACAGAGTCACAGCATTGTTTAGGTTGGAAGAGACCTTTAAGATCACAGTCCAACCGTTAACCCAGCACTGCCAAGTCCAACATTAAACCATGTCCCTAAGTGCCACATCTCAACAACTTTTAAATACGTCCAGGGATAGTTACTCAGCCACTTCCCTGGGCCCTGTTCCAATGCTTCACAACCCTTCTCGTGAAGAAATTTTTCATAATATCCACTCTAAATCTTCCCTAGCCCAACTTGAGGCCATTTCCTCTTCTCTATTTCTTGTTACCTGGAAGAAGAGATCAACTTCCACATCGCTACAACCTCCTTTCGAGTAGTTGCAGAGAGTGATAAGGTGTCTCCTGAGCCTCCTTTTCTCCAGGCTAGACCACCCCAGCTCCTTCAGCCGCTCCTCATTAGACTTGGGCTCCAAACCCTCCACCAGCTCCACTGCCCTTCTCTGGACACATTTCAGCAAATGAATGTCTTTCCTGTAGTGAGGGGCCCAAAACTGAACGCAGGATTTGAGGTGCAGCCTCACCAGTGCATCATACAGGGGTATGATCACTGCCCTGGTCCTGCTGGCAACAATAATCTTAATACAAGCCAGCACGCACCAGCCTTCTTGGCCACCTGGGCACACTGTTGGCTCATACTCAGCCGGCTGTCGATCAGCACCCAAGGTCCTTTCCTGCTGGGTTATTTTCCAGCCACTCTCCCCCCAGCCTGTAGCACTGCATGGGGTTATTGCGATCCAAAGAGAGGACCCATCACTTCACTTTGTTGTATCTCATACAATTGGCCTTGGCCCATCAATTCAGCCTGCGCAGATCCCTCTGCAGAGCCTTGCAACCCTCCAACAGATCAAGACTCCTGCCCAACTTGGTGTCACCTGCAAACTGAATGAGGGTGCACCCAATCCCCTTGTGCAGATTGTTGAAAATACATTAAACAGAACTGGCCCCAAGACTGAGCCCTGGGGAACACCACTTGCCAGCTGGATTTAACTCTATTCACCACTACTCTCTGGGCCTGGCCATCCAGCCAGGTTTTTACTCCTCCAAGCCATAGGCAGACAGTTTCTCCAGGAGAATGCTGTGGGAAATAGTGTCCAAGGCTTTACCAAAGTCCAGGTAGGCCAGATTTACAGCCTTTCCCACCAAGCGGGTCACCTTGCCACAGAATGAGATCAGGCTGGTCAAGCAGGACCTCCCTTTCACAAATCTGTTGGCCTGATCACCTGCTTGGTCTGCATGTGCCTTGTGATAGCATTCAAGATGACCTGCTCCATGACCTTCCATGGCACTGAGGTCTGGCTGACAGGCCAGATCATCCTTCAGACTCTTGTCACATTTGCTAATTTTCAGACAACTGGAACTTCTCGGGTCCCAGCGGTCTTGGTGTCACATAAACTGACCCACAACCAAAAAAACCCAAAATTCTACTGACAACACCAGGCTCAGAGCCAGGTATTGATCTGCGGGCTCTTCCTGTTTCTTCCCTTACCATTTCCTGCACCTGGAAGGATAGACAAAAATGCCATTCATGCTCCTCCTGATCCCTCAACTAGTCATCCCAAGTCCCTGAAGTCTCTTGATTGCTCTCAGACTTCTCGTTGCAACTTCATTGCTGCCTACATGAAAATGAATCAAGTATAATAATCTGAGGACACTATTCAGGGCAGGAAGCTTCCTCTTTATATCTTTAACCCAGGCCCCAGGGAGGTAACAGAATTCCCTAAGAAGTGGGTCTGGCTGGCATATGGGGCCTTCTGTTCCCCTCAGAAGGGAGTCTCCCATGACAATGACACATCTTTTTTTCTTTATAGAAACAGTTTTGATGCAGAGTGTAGGCCAACTTAATGTCAGCAACACCTCCATGCTAGAAGAACCATCGTCTTCGTTATTGTTTAGTTACACTGTACAGCCTCACACCTGTTATGTGAGGGCACCTGGGAAGGGGGGACAGTTGCAGAGGAGACAGGCCAGCTATACCAGGTAGGAACTTGCCGACGCCTGAAAATCTGTGTAATGCAGTTCTACAGGAACTTGTCATCATTGCCCCCTATACCTTAAGTCACTGTGTCCAGCCACGCAGAGAGAGGATAGGGAATCCTCTCTATCAAGTGTCATGTCTCCATGTTCAGCGCCTTTCTCAGGAAAAAATGGGTGAAATACCAGTAGTCTCTCTCACTCTCTCTATCTCTGGCTGATACTCCTCAACCTACCCACCTTCTCCTGGAACTCTGTCACTGAGTTGAAGAGTTCCCCTACCTGGGCACCCCTCCCATAGGAGTGCTCACTGCTGCTGGTCAGTACTGGCATAAGAGCAGGACCCACCCTGCAGCCTAACACCCGTGTGGCAGCATGTTCCCATCGGAGCCCTGTCTGGGCAGCTGTGTCATGCTGAACAAAGATTTCTGAAAAAGGTTGTGAATTTTCTGAATAGCTTTACTGTTTAAGTTACGGGAACTCCTTGTTCTGCTTCAAATTATTATGCTCTCACTGAGACAAAACCAACTCACTACCTTCCCACACACTCATGGATTATTGTTTCCCATGTGCAGTGAAGGCTAAATACTTTCTGAACTTACTACAATAAAGGCATTAATGTCTCATAACTCACCTTCAAAATGCACATTAAAATAAAGCATCAGTTTACTTCTGGATCCCTGGGTGAGAATTTTGCAGAACACTGTTACTGGCACACTACTGTGACCTTCTGTATTAAACCATTTTAATGCTGCATATTAGGTGACAGAGACAACAACAGTGTCATCCCAGGACCACTAAAAAATAAAAATGTTTTATGTCACTATTGTCAACACCTAGGATGCTACCACATCTCCTGTCAAATTTATTGCTTTTCTTCCATTGCCAGTCAGTGATTTTAGGCATAAATGGAATAACATTGTCTACAACAGCCAAAAACCAGGGCCAGCTGCCTGCACCAGACAATTTGAAAACCATGGGTGATGCCTTTTCCGAATCACCACTGCCATCCCTAATAGAGAGAAAAAACTGGGTCTTTGGACCACTGTATGCCAGCCTCTGTCTTGCCTCCTCCCTCATGCTTCCCTCCCCTTCCTGACACTGCAGACACCTGAACCTGTCAGGCCTTGGCTAAACATCTTTGGGATAATATTCAAATTGTCCATGTCATTGGGCTTTGTCCTTGGTCCTGAATTCATGTAACCAAATAGATCTCAACTTCCATTAAAAAAAAAACCCTTCACTTGGAAAAAGGAAAAAAAATCACCCCCAAATCATCCCAATTGCTTGTGATGGCAAATAAATAGAGTACAGATTACTTACGCTAGGCTTCAAATGCAAACTGAGACTATTTGAAGATGGGCATGCACTGAGTCTGGCTGGGTTGGCGATCACTTTCCACATAGCCACCTGATTGTACTGTGTTTTGGATTTGTGGCCAAAACAGGACTGCTAACACACCACTGTTTTAGCTATTGTTGAGCAGTGTTTGCACAGTGTCAAGTCTTTCTCTTTTTCCCTCTGCCCACCCCAGCAAGTAGGCTGTGAGTGGGCAAGAAGTTAGGAGGAGACACAGGCAGACCC